TCGCTATATAAGTGCAATAATCTTGGACGCGACGTTAAACCCAATTTCACCTCACCTCAACTTAACAGATCATAGTCTAACGTGTTGACACCTGACCATCTTTTGTCTGTATTACTTTCTTTGGCCAGTTTCCACCTTTATCACTTACAAGTACACGTGCTTGTTATTTTGCAATAGTTACAATTTCGAAACTAGGTGATAATCACGACTAAAGGCTTAACGCCGTCGTCTGGACGGGAATATAAACAGTATTATGATTAAGGAATCGTTCACAAAGGTCACTCAGCGTCAGCGACACTGAGAAAGATATTTTCGTCAGACACTGCTAGCATTCGTCATCAATCACCGCGACTATAACAAATGATCAGGAAGGAAGTGTCACACGATGGTAAATAAAGTCACAAAAAGTTGTCATGTTAATTATGGGACGACCTTGACAAACGAGCAGGAGTGGCCTTTTAACAACAATTAGGAAGATTGCATTGAATACAATCACCCTCAGGGAACGTCCATTTAATATCGTTTGGGGCTGGGGGTGGGTGGAAGTAAGGGGTAAGGGGGACCTTCGTCAGGGACAGAATACTGTTTTCAGTCACAGCTTCAAGATTGTTTACTGTGAAAGTAGATGCGGAACAGTTTTTGAATAACCAGCTTATATTTTCCTTTTGCATATAATATTCAAAATGATAATTTTGTGAGCTTCGGATAAGGTCAAGGTAACTGTGAATGAACATATTTGCAACACACACACACACACACACACACACAAACACACACAGAGATTGTGATTGTGAGAGAGAGACACACACAGATACACAAACACACAGACAGAGACACAGAGAAAGAGACAGAGAGAGAGACACACAGAGAGACAGAGACACACACACGGAGAGAGAGACACACAGAGAGAGACACACACACAGATTGTGAGAGAGAGACACACACAGATACACAAACACACAGACAGAGACAGAGAAAGAGACAGAGAGAGAGACACACAGAGAGAGAGAGAGAGAGACACAGAGAGACAGATACACAGAGAGAGAGACACAGAGAGAGAGAGAGACACAGAGAGACAGAGACACAGAGAGAGAGACACACACACACACAGATTGTGAGAGAGAGACACACACAGATACACAAACACACAGACAGAGACACAGAGAAAGAGGCAGAGAGAGAGAGGGGAGAGAGACAGAGACAGACACACACACACACACACACACACACAGCCAGCAGTTACTCGTTCCTTTATTAATTCCGGGAATATGTTGTCATTCATATTCATAGCTTGGTCACTACAGCTGATCGTAGTAGTGGGTCTTGATGGAAGGAGGGGTAACATTAGAAGCACTGGTCAAACTAAAACGGTCCCTATGTCCATTAAATTTTAAATGTCAACACCAGCAAATAACCAGTCTCGATTATCCGCCGAACAGATTGCATAGATAGGACAACATAGCGGCGAAATTTACAGACTGGCTCTCTGAGAACTAGTGATAGCACCAGGCGTTCGAGAACACTTTAGTCCTGGCTTGGTGGTAGCATTGTGTTTCGAGTATGCAACAGTAATGCTCTCTTTGGAATATCAGTTAACGGATGATTGCGTGATGATACAGAAAGAGGCTATATGACGCTATATAATTAATTATTATCAAGTATACCGACTTTGTGTTCTATGGAACTGAAAATTGAAAGAATTCTTGTTGAATTTGATCATGTCTATTTAACCATCTCTCTTCCAGCAACAGTTTGTAAAAAGCAATCTGTTGCTGGGAATTTTGTGTAAAAATGAAATGGCTCAGTGAAGAATGATGAATTCGCAACCATATAACCCCTACCATGTTTGAAATGTAAATTTGTGCCGAAAGCAGATTTATAGATTTTCAAAGACAGGATGGTTAAGATAGTTGTCATCAGTAGTGCGTAATGCGATATTTAGATCAGTATGCTTTCGATACTTTCAGTTAAAAATCAAACAGATGATAAAATCCACTGACGTAAATCAAGTGACAAAACGCTTTCCATATCCAACAGAAATCTCTGCATAAAGCAGACTGGATTCTACAGGTCCGTTTATTTTCTATTTTATGTTTATTTTGCCCCTCTGTTTATACGATCAAATACCCCCATGTGTTTACTTTGATAATGATAATTAACTGCCATCACATGGAAACTCTTTGTAATAGTTGATGCTGTTAGACTGCACATGGCTTTTAATACAGAAAAGTTTCTATAAGGATTGCCTCACTGGGAGTGGTGGTAGCGGGTGGATTAAGAATGTCACTGAAGATAAATGGTTCTTTTTTTAATACCAAATTTCTAAACACCATTTTAATCTTGAGATTGTGTTCGTCTACGTCATTCATTGCCTTCAAACACCAAGTTTAAATGTGTAAAACCAATGTATGGTTCCCCCTGCTGTTGGTTGGTTGGTTTGTTGTTTCACGCCGCACTCAGCAATATTCCAGCTATATGACGGCGGTCTGTAAATAATCGAGTCTGGACCAGGCAAGCCAGTGAGTGATGTCATGAGCATCGATCCACGCAAATGGGATCGATGACACGTATGACAGCCAGCCTGACCTCCCGATCCCGTTAGTCGCCTCTTGCGACAGGCATAGTCGCCTTTTACGGCAAGCATGGGTTGCTGAAGACCTATTCTACCCCGGATCTTCACGGGTCTAGTATTATATTTTTGTATATTCCGGCAATGAGCTGACATATGAACAACACGCAGGCTCATTATGAGACATGTTTGTCCCCCATGAACAGCCGGGGCAGAATTGATCTTCAGCAACCCATGCTTGTTCCCTCGTGAAAGTCCGGGTTAGAATTAGTCTTCAACAACCAATGCTTGTCGTACCTCGTGACGGTCTGGGTGATAATCGGTCTTCAGCAACCCATCCTTTTACCCCGTGAAGATCCGTGTTATAATAATTCTTCAGCAACCCATGCTTGTCGTAAGAGGCGACTAACGGGATTGGATGGTCAGGCTCGCTGACTTGGTTGATGCATGTCATCGTATCCCAATTGCGTTGATGGATCTTGACCATGTCAATCACTGGATTGTCTAATTTACAGACCGCCGTCATACAGCTGGAATATTGCTGAGTGCGGCCTTAAACAACGATCAAACAAACATTTATGCAAGTCCGTCATTGGTCTCCTGGCCCCACACACAATACAATCTGTGTATGTTCTGTATCCAAGCATTAATACGAAAGGGCATCTTTTCTTACCTAAGGCACTGGCAATTTATTATAAGGGAGGAGAGGAACAGGTGAGATTAAGACAATTGTGAGCTGTGCTTGAGACACTCAGAACACGTTGACAACGTCAGCTCGACGTCATGTAAGGTGTGTATTCCGGTCACATCGCTCATGTCCACTGTATTTGTCTCATTTGTCCACACTGAGGCAGTAAAACTGACACATACTCCTACATGTCTGTCCACGAAGCAGGCGTTTTTAACAAATAGAACAAAGTTGCATACGCTGTTGGTCTGATTTCACAAAAACTGACAATGATTCCTGTGTATAAGAAAAACTTTGTTCATGACAATGTCAATTTTTTAATATCCTCATCGGTTTAAGTTGTTGGTTGTTTGTTGTTTAACGCCGCACTCAGCAATATTCCAGGTATATGACGGCGGTCTGTAAATAATCGAGTCTGGACCAGACAATCCAGTGATTGACATCACGCGCATCGATCCACGCAATTGTAATCGATGACATGCATCAACCAAGTCAGCGAGCCTGACCACCCGATCCCGTTAGTCGCCTCTTACGACAAGCATAGTCGCCTTTTACGGTAAGCATGGGTTGCTGAAACCTATTCTACCCCGGATCTCTACGGGTCTGATCATTTTTAGATGCTATTTTATTGGATATAATCATTTGTCTGAGATCGAGTTTTATTATATTAAATTTGTACATAGGTGGTGTTAGCTTTAATATGAATTTTGTATTTTTATATTAATCGTTAATGATGAACTACTATGAAATAATTAAAAAATCGTAGATACAAAAGAGTTTCTTTCGTTTCTCTTTAATCGCAAATAATAAACATATGTCATTTTCTCACATTCTCTCTCATTCACTCACTCTTGTTCTCCCCCTTGCACTCTCACTCACTCACTCTGCAATTCTTTCTCTAGTTCTACCCGAAGACCCGGGTTCGATGACTATTTTAGGTGTCCCCAGCTTTGACATCGCTGGAATATTGCTCAAAGCGGCGTTAAACCATACTCACTCACTCGCATTCACTCTCTCTAGCTCTTTCTCTCACTTTCATTCTCTCTCTCTCTCTCTCTCTCTCTCTCTCTCTCTCTCTCTCTCCGTTAAGATAGACATTTTGAGTGGGGTCAAATGAACACATCTTGACTTCAAGTAGGTGTTGAACATACTTATAATCTTGTCTATCTAAGATATCATAAATCATGACTAAACATTAACAAATACGAGCATTCAAAACACTATTCATCATCCACACGAGGGGCGGTCGGGTAGCCTAGTGGTTAAAGCGTTCGCTCGTCACGCCGAAGACCCGGGTTCGATTCCCGACATGGGTACAATGTGTGAAGCCCATTTCTGGTGTCCCCCGCCGTGATATTGCTGGAATATTGCTAAAAGCGGCGTAAAACCATACTCACTCACTCACTCACTCATCAACAGGACGATATAAACACAAGTACAACATCACAACTAAAGATTACAAAAAAGATTCCTGAAAAACTTCCTCGAACCCAGATGTTGCATGGTAGAATATTAGGCGGTGATACTTGTAAAGCTTAATAAGTGATGAGTGACATTAAACGCAAACGTCTTACAAAACCATTCAATCACTGGTTTTCAAAACTCACATCACCAAAGCCAAGAAGGTACATGAAATGCATCAAGCACTGATGAAAACTGATGACAAAATCTCTCATCGTTTCTTTTTGCCAACTGCTGTATCCACGCTTGACAAAGCACAAACTGAACATAAAAACCACCTACCTATGAGAAAGGTGCAAGTGTATCGCCCCGGAGCGGTGGTCCCCATCGCAGAGCCTGCAATGTGAATATCCCGAGTTGTGGTCGTGACTGCTCCGAGAAACACAATGAATCACAGAGGCATGATGGGGCATTAAAACTGGCCATGGAGATTCGTAAATAGTTGTGTTGGTGGATGAGAAGGAGGCTGCCCATCAGGCCCTGACAGACGTCGCTCACACATGTCAGTCTCCGTCTCTCACCCTCTTAACTTAGCGTCACGGCTCGGTTTGTCATTCGGACAGGTGAACCAAGGTGAGCTCTGTGATGACATGGGCATGAGTGTATGTATTTGAAGTTTACTACTGTTCCGAGCACTTAAAGAAGGGGGTAGGTCAGCCTCTGTGTACGTTTGTATGAGCGTGGCCAGCACTCTATAGATGGAAGATGCATGATACAAATGCACTATACAAGTGCTATTATCATTATTATTTACAGATTTTTAAAAATGCAGCAAAGAGGTTTTGTTGATCCTGGAACAGTCAGACTGGTTAAGATATTGATATTATTGTTCTTATGATAATTTACAGATTTTTAAAAATGCAGCAAAGAGGGTTTGGGTGATCCTGGCACAGTCAGACTGGTTAAAATACTAATATTATTGTTATAATGATTATTTACAGATTTTAAAAAATGCAGTAAAGAGGGTTTAGGTGATCCTGGCACAGTCAGGCTGGTTAGGCTCATCATCAGCTCAGGGCCCTTTCCCCCTCTCTACACGCAGCCCAGACAGCGAATGGGACTTCTCCCAGGAAGCGCTGCCTAGTCAAACCCACCCAGAACTCATCGGAGAATGTGAAGACTCCCCAACACTGCAGCCGTCTGCATTACCCAGATTGTCAGAAGGGCTGTATTTCTGCTAGCAAACCCGTGTGCTCTCTTAATGTCAGTCAACAGATTGTGAGGTAACAAACCTAAGGCACCGAGAACAATGGGGAGTCGGACAACATGGTACTTGGGATGCAAGCGTGACATTTCGAAAGCGAGGTCCGCATATTTGCCATGTTTTTCCTGAATCTTGTCAATCATATAAGTGTCAAAAGGGACAGAAACTTCAATAATATAAATGATTTCATTGGATTTATCAAAAAGGACAAGATTTGTTCGCCTGGATACGTCTGAGGCTGTTTACGGGCCTATTCCAAAGAATTTTGAATTTGTCATACTCCATGACGCCCTCAACATATTCTGGGTTGTACCATGGATGGACCTTTGTGTCAAAACCACAAGCATGGCGAAGACGGTAATAAAATGATCGAGCTACACCATCATGTCGCTTAAGATACTGTGTTTGTGCCAAAGCTAGGCATCCACTGACAATGTGTTGGACAGTCTCATCAAATTCATTGATGATGATGATGATGATGATGATGATGATGATAACAAGCATCACCACCATCGTTATTATACTTACTTTTATTATTGTCGCTGCTGTTTGTTTTTTGTTATTATTGTTTTTATTATTATGTGTAAAAGTGTAGACTGTCTTGTATATATCTACATATCTTGTTGTTTGTTACTTTGTGTCGTGTTTACGTTTTTGTATGCTGTACCCATTACGACATCGGTGGGGGGGGGGGGGGGGGGGGGGGGGGGAAGCTACGAAGGCAATAAGCCTCCACTATTGGGAGGGACACAGGCTGTGATCATGTCAGTATTAGTGTACATGTCATTGGAGAATTAGATTTGTGTCTTCGTGTCAGACATTATAGAATGCCAGGCTAATAAACGAGAATGCCTCTTTCATCGCCTAGAACAACAATATAAGAACAAGTGCGTATTAATAACTACATAAATTGGTAAGTTTGTGTTCAGTGTAGGATTAAGACAACTTGAAGTTTAATACGTACACAGGTTGTTATGTTCGTAAGTAGTCCATTTGTCCATTAGTCGACTTCAAATCTGAAGATAAACACGACTGTCCATTAGTGAACGTGATTGTAAATAAGGACTTACACTGTCCATTAGCGAATGTAACGTTAATACAGACGAAAGTCTGTAAACTTAAAGATTGAATGTTAATATGTACGTTGTCTTTGAGACAAGTTGAAGGAGGAGGCGGGCGTTCTTCGTTGATAAGTGAACATGAGGTGAATTCTTATGTACTTTGTCAATTGGACCCCGTTTACATGCATATTATACATATACCTACATATGTACATACATTTACGGCAGTATATGTATGTAGATATATGTAAACGGGGTACAATTGCATATATACATATATTTACGATCCGGGGTAGAATAGGTCTTCAGCAACCCATGCTTGTCGTAAGAGGCGACTATGCCTGTCGTAAGAGGCGACTAACGGGATCGGATGGTCAGGCTCGCTGACTTGGTTGATGCATGTCATCGATCCCAATTGCGTGGATCGATGCTCATAATGGATTGTCTGGTCCAGATTCGATTATTTACAGAGCGCCGTCATATAGCTGGAATATTGCTGAGTGCGGCGTTAAAAAACCAACCAAACAAACAAACAAACATATATGTCCATACGTGAATAGGATGAGACAAACAAACACCACTCAGACAACAACAGACTGAGGACCCAACCAGGGAAATGATGTTGTAAATCTCATATCACTGAATATCGCAATGTAAGAGGTAAAACGTTCCTTGCAAAATAGGAAATCACGCAAGACAAAATTAGAACTGGCTTTATCATCTGTCTTCCAAACTTTCCAAAACAAATACAAACATTCAGAACTGAAGCGCACTGACATTGAAATAAATCTAACTTGGATTATGAGGAACGACAACGTGGAGAAGAACCTGTTTGATATGATGTGTTGGGTTCTCAGGGAGGAACGACATGCGTGGGAGTGGGTCGACGAGCCTGCCATTTGACCGGCCGTTTATTCAAGATTGTCGCATGTTACATAAGAGGCCGTGATTCTGCTTACCAACAACTAATGACATTACACAAACGGACGTCTGTTGGCTAAAATATTACGCAGTAGTTTACTTTTTTTCAATTACAGATATTACATGATGCACTGATATGATTTTGGGTTGTGTCGGGCAGAATTCGGTGCTAGAGTCGACCACAAAAAACATGGAAGAGACATCAGTAGGGACAAGGCAGTTCCAGAATTATGGGAAAATGGTGAATAATGATAGTTCCTGAAATCATATTGAAACAGGCAGAGATATATCTTTTGACTCTTCTGGTTCTTCCACCTATACAATGTAGATCTAAGTTTATGTCTACTACTTCATAACACTACCATCAGACCACATACAACCAGGATAGAATTGGTCTTCAGCAACCCAACGGATTGTCTAATTTACAGACCGCGGTCATATAGCTGGAATATTGCTGAGTGCGGCGTTAAACAACAAACAAACAAGACGGTTCAGTCAAGTGCATTACTGGAGTTGAATGTTTATTCGGATTGTGCACTGGACATTCGTTATGATAGTTCTTTGTCCAGTTTCATGTGCCCTGTGCGAGGAAGGAGAGTATTACGTGCATTCTGAATATTTTACTGCATATTGACATCGTGTATTCTGTTTAAGTGAATTTAAATAGTCAAAACGACAAGTCTGTGATTTTTTTAGCTTCAAGTACAGACACATATCTGTTTATATATGTCTATAAATGTGTTGTCATTTACATTTGAAATGTTTAAAACACTTCAGCAAGCCATTCCTATATTTTATTATATCGCCTGGGACGTTGCTGTTTTGTTTAAAAAAACAACTCATATGAGGATGTATATTTGCCAAGAAATTACTGAAGAACGGAAAATGCTTTTTTTGTGATTTGACTTTAAAGGGATGCTAATCCCTGGCTTCTTCTCGGCAGTCTGACACTGGCCGCTAGGGCTCACGAGGTGAGGTGAAATGGGGTTTAACGTCGCTTCCAAGATTATTGCACTCATATAGTGTATATGTGTGTGTGGCTGCTTGTACTAGTCCGGACTGATGCCGATTTATTGTGGTAGCACACTGGGATACCATGCCGCAGTTTAACATGAATACCGACACAGTATACTGACTCCGAGCCGACCAGTCCTTGTTTTAACCCCTTAAAACAAGTACCATCTTTTAAAGTCTTTTGGTATGACGCGGCTGGGGATCGAACCCCGGACCTTCCGCTCTCCTGGCGGACGCTCTACCATTAGACCACGGAGGCGGTCCTAGGGCTCACGAGCTGCCGTGAGTGGATTTCCTCGCTAACGCAACTGAGCGTGACAAGAGACTGGGCTACCTTCTGTAAGGACAGCTAAATAAGCTTGGAGGCAATATTTGTTTTATGCATTTTTTACACTAATTGGTCACCCGTGATCTATGAAGATTTCGACAAAGAGCGCATGTTAATTAATTTCTTCAGCCTAAACAAACCGACAAAAAGAATGTGGTTATTTGGAAATACCCCTGATGGTTATTGTTTAATAATACAAAGTATCCCTGCAGTGAAAGCATTTTCGGATTTCGGATTCAATGGACTCCGTTGTTGTCATCCATGTTTTCTCTACACTTGTGCATTTGTCGTCATTCACTTGATGCTCAGTTAATGAATTTATTACATGTATAATTAGTGGTAGGACCACTCAGATTACCCGATAAATGACCATTCGGCATTTCTTGTGTCATGGGTAATTATTCAATCTGAATCCAGGTTTGAAGTGAGGTGAAATGTGCGTTTTGTAATATGCACGTGGCAGCCCAGCAAGAGATGAATGATCAGTTGATTTACTTTTTTGTATATCATCGGATCAGTGCTAGCCATCAAAGGATCAACAGAAAAAAACTTTGATTGATTATCCTGCTCAGTGGATATGTCAAAAGTAAGTGTTTACATGTGTAGGTTTACCAAAGCAAAGGGAATACACTCATATCATGGCGTGAAGTGCCTTTGTAAAAACAACATACTTTGTTCAAAGGGTTAACCGATTGATTGCTCATTGTTATCTAACTCAATAGATTTTTGAAGAACCGTGGACATTATCAAAATAGTTGTTATGTGGGCTTTCTCAGCTGACCTTTGAGACTTGACACCTTATGAAACACCTGAAACAAACTAAGTGATCAGTTCAGAAACGAACACGGGTTGTAATATCCGAAACGATAAATTAAAATATTTGATTGTTACAGTG